CGAGTGTGCAGGTTGATGGAGTGTACCCACAGGGGCATGTCAGCTGAGTAGTTTTTTTTTTTTTACGAATGGGCCCTTGTGTTTCAACTCAATTTCTTCTAGGAGGCATTGATTTTTCGAGTTGATTAAGCCCAAAAGGATTCAATTCCCAGAAGAATGAATCGCTCAATTATCGAGAAAGCGAAAAATAAAACTTGATAATTAGCATTTTTTTTTCTGCACATTATGGCCGAACAGCTGTTGACCAGGTGATCCCTACACGCACCCTGCGCTTCCTAGAAGCAATTACCAAGGCCAGCTGTGGAAACAACCAGTGTATCGACCCCTTGCATAGACAATTTCTCCAGGGGTTGAAATGCAAAAGACCGCATGGAAAAACTCAAAAGCTCGAGAGCTGTTATTATCGCTTTGCTATCTACTGGTGGTGCGAGGAGTTCCTGGAAAAAAAAAAGGTGAAGAACTGGACAAAGAGGAGGAAAAATAAAAGCACCGAGGGGGTTTCACGTAGACGTCTGAGTTGGCGATAATACTGGAAGATTAAATCGCTCTTTTCCTTTCCCCCTATCACAACTCCGGGGGGACTTGTCATCGCACGACGCTCCGATTTCCGCTCTTAATTGTATTTTAATTACAAAACCCCCAAGCCGTCTCTGGACTCTCAGTCGTTCAAGTGGCCGGATAAACATCGAGTTTCATACCCTCCCCTCCATTTCTCCTTACCGTTACGGAGCCGCTGCGTGCAATTATTTTACGATATCATTCGCGAGTCTCTCGAGTTTGTGGACCCTCTTTAAGCCCCTCATCCCTTTGACTTCTCAAAGAGCTGGGGGATGACGAGTTTTTCACTACGTCCTGCACAAACCCCAAAGATTCTCCCTCAACGGTTGCCGTACGTGACTGCCATACTCCTGGACACATCTACTTTGATGTTTCCCCAAAAAAAAAAGGAAGAAAAAAAAAAAGAATTTAGTTTGCCGGAGGTATCTGATGGTGGAAGAGGTCCAAGGGAAAACAGGAAAACGTTGTCGAACCCATCCTCCACCATTTTTCCTCCTTCTGGATGACCCTTTTCTTTTTTACTCCATTTTTATTCGATTCCCCGTCACCTTTCTTAGCTCTTATCCTCTTTTCTCGTCACTTGGATACACTTGGTTCACTTCCACACAAAATTCCACCTTCTCCGACCATTTCCCATCGGAGTACATAATAATAAAGGTGCGTCAAAAAGACTCATCACGAATAATGGTGGGTCGTAGATGCTCTCGTCACGAGTGCTTACGACCTACTGTTAAAATACACGAAAAATTTTATCCTATTGAGTTGTTTACGCACCCGATAAATATTAATTTCTACATTTATATCGAATCAAATCGAACACACGTAGTTATCCCGTAATAAACGAGACAACTAATACAATAAAAATAGGATTGGTTTTAGTAGACAGGTTTTTTATTTGACAACGTCTTTAACGCGTGCTCTGGTTTATATCGTTTAATTCGGTTTGACGAATTAATTGAATTCCTTGGAATAGGAAAAATAAAAATCCAAGAGACTTTGCATGTTACTTTGCATAAAAATAACCCTCTCCATTTATGACTAAAACGTTGTGTATTTATTATCAAAGGTAAACGAGTGAAACTCAAAGGGCATGAACTCAACTCCTCTCGATGAGGGTTGCCCTATTAATTCGCTTAATTGTGCTGACGAATCAAACGCCAAAAGAGCTTTTGGAGTGCGCCTGAGACCCTTGTGCAAATTATCGCGATTTCTCAGACGAAGTAAACAAGTTACCCCTGCCCCAACGATCCCAGTGAGTTCATCTATCGCAACTGAGTTGTACGGTGATACTCATGGAATTACATGAAGCGGTGCAATTGGAAGGAAAAAGTGTTCATTAGTTGGAGTGAATATTCCTTTGAGAACTCGAGATAACGAATTTCGTGCACAGTTCTAAAATGAACGAAAGAAAAAAAAATTATTTTACTTGTGTTTGTGATTTATTGTGTCGTTGAGACTGAAGCAATATTCATGCACTTGTGGCCACGTGTACATTGTTGAATTGCCGAGTGCCCTGAGAATGGTTTTTAGATAGTTGAAACGACATGTTCAATACTACGAGGACGAAACGTGACCAACTTGGTTGGAATGGCATCAGACGTACTTTGCCAGACTCTCGAAAGACTCGACTACCGGAGACTTTCAGTAGTTGTCCTCTCATCGATCCTCACTGGTGACCACTTGAGGGTGCCACGACGATGGCACTTGGACGTCTCCAATCCTCCACCATCTGGCCTAATGACAATCAATTAGCGACAAATTATAATCAATCCTATCGTGAGATTCGCAATGACCTCGGTGATGCATAGTCATACCTTGACCCACTGGCCAATGATTTTTATCCTATATCCGGTGGTTTATTTCTCCTGAGGGATAGCCAGGTTGACAAACGATATTGACGAGAAAAGAGATTAGCCACTGGAGGGTCGTCGAGGATAACAAAGTCCTTTCTAATCTCGCTTATCGCCTTACTGACTCTCCAGCTAACCCAGATATCCACCAATGGCTGCCAACTATACACATAGGTTGCCAGTGGCTTTGTGCTCAAGCTATTTCCCGCGAACCCGCCCTGATCCTATTATCGGAGGTGTGGAAGCCCTAGGAAAAATGTTGCGTGACTACAAATGTTCAGTTTTTCTCTCTTTCACCAATTGCTAATACCATAGAGATTTTCCATTTTTCTCCTCCACTTCTTTGTTGGGAGAAAGGAAAAATAGTGAAATTGTTTGGAGAAATAGCGTCAGTGACTCGCACCACGCTCACACTCTCAAGGGGATGAAAAAAAAAAATCACCGGAGCTTGAATAGTGTCATACCACGAACGAAATTAAGGCAAATTGTGGCCCGCTGTGCGATACCATCGCCCAAAATCGATATGCAAATTTACGCGCAAATCCCAGTAATCTCGCGACCCCGCGTTCTGCCGTTGAGAGGTTATGGGTGACGAGGAAGAGGTAGAGGGACGGGTTTGGATGCCACATCACACGCAGAATACGAAGGAGGGGTTTGAACGACGACGGGTCGTAAAGTGGGGTTAGTCCGAGGCCAGGGATCGTGTTGTACGTAGGCCATCTTTTTTTTTTTCTCTTTATTTTTCACCAACCAGACGTATGGTGGATTGGTGAAAAGGTCGTTGAGAAAACGAGCCCCAAGAACCACACGTGTATTAGGGAGGAAAGCCAATGGCCAATCCTCCCCTTTCCTCCTTACCGATAAACCCTCTATTTCCACCTGATGATTTATGACAAAAGTTTTTAATACTTTTCAAATAATAATCATATTCAGATAAAACATGGAATTCTTTCAAATTCAGTATTTTTTACTTCCTGTGCAGATACATAAATTCAGGTGAATTTGGGCATCGTTATTGAGAACATGATCATTTTTCTCGTTGAGCCCCCTCTTACCACATATTTATTGCCCTGTAGGTCATATTTCTCTCTCGGAAGGTATTTGTGTGATTTATGTTTCTATCAGAGCGAACATTATGGGAGAGAATATGAGAATACGATATTTTTATTATTCCGGTGTGTTCAAAGAGCCGTAATAATAATTCCACACACATGAAAACCATTGCTGCGCATGCTAAATTCAGCTCATCTCTGTGAAATATCAAAATTCCCGTAACTTCATTATTTTTTTTTTTAATTTTCCCCCCTCAACGACATGTAATGCTCTTCATCAACCGTGCGATGTGACATTGAATGACTCCACCGGAGGCATAAAAAATCCATGATATTAATTAAAGTGTCGGGTTTTCAGATTGACATTCATCTCGATTAATAATGCTACCCGTTTTGCACCATCGGCGTACGTAACAGATTTCCTACATCACTTTGATGTTTTTTTTTCTCCATTACCCATCGACACAAAAATAAAATCTATAAAAAAAATTTCCTCGAATTATGCATTTAAAATTCCCATCTTTTCCAATTGCCTCTAAAGCTGATGGAGGTACTCTGTAAAAACAGTAAAGTAAAATCATCTTGTCTTTAATTTAATGTAGTGCAGATTCCATTGAAAATGAAATGTCACTCGTAAAAAGTCCCTTTACATTCGTCAAAACGCCACAAACCCCTCAACCCAACGGGACAAAACAACAACAGAGGGGTAGGAGGGGGTGGGATGAGGGTAAAAAACGCCATCAGCCAGGCATTTCAATTATCTTGTCGTTCAAAAGAGCTGTAATTGAGTTGGTACATCGCCGACACTGTCTCCCCGAAACAATGTTGTTACTTCAAGTCTTTCTTGAACTCCAGTATCACTTTGTCCTTTCTTCATTCTCCCCGCGCTTCTTCTCACAGCGGAAAAGCCTTTTTGTATTCAACCATCCGTTAGCGGTTTGCCGAAGTGGCCTAGCCTGTTACCTTCCACCCCGCACTCATTCACAGCAGAAGCTCCCTGTTTATTTCTATTTTTCATCCTCTCCTTACCTTCTTTTATCACGTCAGTCTGACTACTCGTGCCACAAAATAATCCCACAACAAAAAATAAACCTACCCCATCAATTAAAGTCAAACGTTACAATAGAAAATACGGAATATCATAGTTTGCTCATTAGAGTAAAACTTGGAGCTGCTCACCGTTAACTCGGCCAGACCTAGAATTAAAGGCTGATAGTACTTCAATATTATATTCTCTTCAACTCGGTTAATTAAGCGATATTTGATCTGACTCTGAACTCAGCGTGGCACAGAATGCAGAAGCTGCCGAGTTGCAATATGATGAAAGACAGAGACAGACGGAAACATGAGCCACCGGTGAAATTTACGTGGTATTAGGAAAACCCTCCGGATTTTCACCGAGAGAATGCGTCTTACCTCGCCTAATATTGTTAGTGACTAATTAGGGATAAGATTCTGGGGCTCAGTGAAACTGAAACTGAACCTGAACCTGAATTACTCTTATCCCACTAACATGTGTGTTTGATTTTAATTTTTCCAGGGAAGATGCAATCGGGAAAAGCCACCGTGCAAATACTTCCATCCACCTCAACACCTGAAGGATCAATTATTGATAAACGGGCGAAATCACTTAGCCCTGAAGAATGCTCTAATGCAGCAGATGGGACTAACTCCTGGACAGCCCCTTGTGCCTGGTCAGGTGCCTACAGTGGTATGTCATTCACCTCCAGTACTCTTTACTCTCATTAATAAATAAATAAAAAAAACAATCCAGCTTTCATACTCTTAATAAATCACTCACGCGTACAAGTATGACATTTGTATCAGCATCTACATATTTTATCATTTTCTGTAGATCGAGCAGATGCAACAGTGCTTATCTCATGTGTTTTATTTCAATCTCGATGTTTGAGTTGCGACTATTGATGATGCACATCACTCCATAGATTAATTGTCAGCACGTTGCATGATTATATGTGAATTTTTTTATTTATCATTTTTTTTTGGTGTTTTTTTTTTTACAATTTTGTTACAATATCTTTCTCAGTGTTGCCAGTGTCCTCCTTTATCAGCATATCACATTGTATATTTATTTCTGGTAAAATTTCCGTGGCTAATGGGGCTAGAGAGCCACAAACGCGTACGAGGACTCTCGAAAAACGTTGTTTCAATCCAATGAATCCCCTCAATTAATTGATAATTTCGCAATTAATCAATTGCTCACCCAAATCAAGCTTGATAAATTCATGATAAAATAGTTCAGGTGGCCACTTCAGGCACACGTGCAGCTTCAATTACGATAATGAGATGTATACTCTGGTATCATTCAAGCTCCCACTTATTTTCAAAATAAATTTTGCAAAATTTTCACAATAGCTGATGGAATATCGCTCACACAAGTCACCTCATTTCCACCTCAATAACTAATTTCATTTACTATTTACACTCATTATTAATAAATCCCCCAGCACGCAAAGTAATAAGTGAAAAACGATAAGGCGAAGAAAAAGAAAAAGAAATTGTTTATGTTGTCATTATACTACACGTATGACCGCCTGTCTGTCCCCCATGTTTGCCGCCTCGTGGTGCTCGTGGTTGTGGTTGATTGTTGGTGTGTTCTCCGTACGCTGCAATATTATGGCGAACAGGAGGGCCAACCTCCTCTGCCAGCGCACCATCACCTTCAACAGCAAATCCAGCAGCAACTTCTCGCTACCCACGCCTTTATGGTAACTCCTGGTTTTGGTTTGGCTTTCACTAATTTTTTTGTTTTTTTTTTACTTTTTTTTTTAATTTACCATTAATATGATTGTGGATTAAGACGTTATTTTTTTTTTCATTTTGGTTTTACATTTATCGAGTGTTTTATAGACTTGAACAATTGTCTCAACCAACTTCTGATATTTTTAGTAGAATGAAACTCTCTCTCTTGTCAATTGTGTTTGTGTAGTTGTGAGTAATAAAATTTCACAAGTTTGTTCGATTCAATTGTGTAGTTAGAGGCTGTAACTTTCTCAATATCAAACGACAGTATCGCACTGCAGTATAATTAAAATTGTCGCGCATGTCCAGTACTAGTCCACATGGTGTCCACAGTCCCCATGATTCTCTCATCCAGAATCAAAACGAGAGAAGGACTCGTTGTGATTCACCCAGTTCCCCGAGGTTGCCCTATTGTGACTTGCCACCGACAGAAAAAAAAGGAGAAGGGTTAAAAAACAAAACAAAGAAGGAAGTGAAAAACAAAAAAAATGTGAGAAAAAAAAAGGGAGGGAGGAAGAGGTTTGTAGAAATAATTGCGCGTCGGGGCGCGATCCAGAGAAAGGAAATATAAAAGGGCAAGTGCGAAAGGGCCTCTGAAAACTCTCGAGTGAACGAGGTCAAAGCAACGACCTACTGTACATACGCGTCATTCCCAACAATATAAAACGAGGTGGGAAGGGGGGGTGGGCAAAGGGGAATAAAAGGAAAAGGGATAAAAAAAAATAGTTGGAGTTAAATTAATGCCAACGCTCCTGGATGGTTTATATCCGGGGCGTTTCCTCTTTCTGATTGACAGGCAACCAATCCGTACCTAACTGGAATGCCACAGGTGAACAACACGTACACACCGTACTTCACACCGAGTCCAATAATGCCAGCGATAATGGGACCAGCTGATCCCACGGGGGTCGGTAGTCCGCTTGGTGTTGTCCAGCAGACAGTAGCAATGCCGCAGAAGATGCCACGTACCGATCGTCTAGAGGTATGTCTACCACCAAACTACATACAGCACGGTGGCCAACATGGCACCGGTGCGGCCCAGTGCCAGATGACTGGCCCTAACGCCGTTTACCAGGTCACCCAGGTCCCAGCAGGCCCACCAAATCAGGTCTCCCCAGTCTCTACGATGCAATCGGTCAATCAATCCCCATCACCCACCACAATAACCAGTTCCGTATGCACACCCCTGCACAATCCACATCCACATCATCATCCCCTCCACAATCTTGTCTACGTCCACGCGTACTATTAGGACTATTATATTTATTCTAGAGTATTGGCAGAGGGAATTTCACGCTGAGGCGGTTTATACATAGATTCATTACAATTGATTGGGGAACTATTCATTCAGGGGGAATATTGCGCTCGGATGAGGGCACCAATTCCAGACCGAGTCGTGAATTTATTTATACTAGTTTAGATATATGATATATTATAAATATATGGGTCATATGCAGCGTATGTGCATAAATATATTTATGAAATATTCGTATTGGCGTTAGTTTTGTAAACAGCGGGACAGGGGGCCGTTGTACGCGGCAGGGGAATTCATTCTTTTTTTTTTTTTTTGGTTTAGTTTTTTCGAATTTTTCTTTATACTTTTTTTTTTCCTTCGTTTGGTGGGGTAGAGTGGGATTATTATGCCCTTGAGGTGGAATATTCCACGGATTTCATTCTTCTGCCGCGTATTCCGGGGAAATTCGACACGTCGAGTGGGAGATGTTGAGAGGAAAAAGGTAAAAAGGTGAGGGAAGGAAAAAATGGAGGAAATGTTGAGGAAAATGTTTCTTCAAGCCAGCTGAGTATAATGACCTGTGCTCGACGTGTTAAAATCAACGACCATAGACAAACTTAGAATTTTTAATGGAATTTGAATATAAATTTCGAGTAAAGAGACGGGGATTATGAATGAGAGTGATGAAATGCAAGGAAACGTGATGATGTAGTTCATTAAAGATATTTTTAGGAAACTTGAGCGTGAATCAAGGTTTATTGAAAGAAAATTTCCAGTTATTATTTCATTTGGTGGAAAACATCGAGACGTAAATTATATTCTTGTGACATTATTTGTCACTTTTAGTGCGTTAGGTAATCAATACAAAGATTTGTAGATTTCAAAGGACCACGGAGTCGAGTGGAAAATTGATATTAATGAGATTATTTGATTGATGAATTTTGAGAGAAATATTAGCGGGGAAGATGTTTCGGCAAGATTTTTGAGTGAGTGATGTACCTATTCGATGGACATTAGCGGTGGTTTTTGCGCAGGTTTGCATGCATTCGAGTAATCATACGAATATGATGAGCTATTTAGTCGACAATCCGCACAATATCAAACTATTTTCTTAACCAAAAAAAGGATCAACGAATTCCAACTGACGGGGGTCGGGTGTCACACGATAGCGGACACCTAATTTTCATCTTATCACTTGTTCCTCGTTCGTCTTTTGTGACGACATTGCGTGTCACTCCGTCACTCGCCCGACTACCGGCCGTCTACTTGTCTCCCGAAACGTGTGCACGGCCCCGTACTGCAGATGTATTAAAACAAACACAAAAACTTGCAGAAAAAAAAAAGAACACCTAAAACTAAATAAACCAAGGAGGAATAAAAAAGGGAAGAAAAAATAAATCAATAATAGACATGGTCGCGCGCACGCTCGTGCCTTATACTCGCAAAATTTTTTCTTCCTCGTCAACAAATATATATTTTTTTTCGCACATTCCACGTGAACGAAAATATATTCAGTTATGTCGACGACTGGGGCATGAAAACGTGCGCAATAACTCCCGAAACCTATATTTAGATATACGTTAGACATAAATCTAGGATTGCATAGGATTATTTTATAGTTCGATAACGTGTAACTTGGAGTAGCATCCCGATGTGAGGATTTTGAGGTGGGGAGGGGCAAAGGGAAGAAATATTTCACGGCAACAAATCAATTCCTTTCGCAATGCAGAATTCACACGTACACACAGCCTCTTCGAATATAAATTTTCCTTTTTTACTCACGAGATTTTTCCTTGAGACTCCGGCGTGAGGATCTGCTGTGAGGGATAAACCCGGCGATAAGCGTGAAATTGGGGGATTATTTTTGTAATTTTTTTTCCGTTATTTTTTTTTATGAAGCCTAGGGAGATTACACGCATGACGAAAATATTCGGTTATCCGCACAATATGCCGAGAATGCTATTGAGGATGAATAGCAACGACACTCGGCATTTCCGAGATAAATTTTTAAGGAAAATTGGGCAAATGACGAAAATTTATCCCATCGATAACTTCTTCACGTTTTGCTGTTATTTTTCTACCTATCCACTTTCCAATTCACTTTTTTCTCACGGCTTCGACGTCCAATTAATTAAAATTGACGAGAACAATACTGAAGCTGATGAAATGTAACGAAAGAGAGTAACCAATCGTTGAGATACAGAACACTAGCACGTCAGAATGATTAATGAAGCATTAGGGCATTGTGAGAGACAAAGGATATTTTGAGTTGTAAATTATGAACGATTGAAGTATGTGATCTTGAATATGAAACACTGAGGGTGAATTGTTATTTGTTGTATTTTATTATTTTCATTCAGTTGTTCTCCCTTCGAAGCTGCTGATAATTCTTGGGACAATTCCACCGAATAAACACTCATCGTCAATATCAGTCATCAATTTTTCATTCTTCAACTTATCATTTAACTTATCTTCTCAAAAATTCATACACTCGGGCAAAATAATGGAAATAATTTTACAAAGAGTAATTGTTGATCATATTGATGATTTTTCATAAATTATTGGTGAAATTGTTCACGAGGATATCCAACAGTCTCATCAATCGATAGATTGTCAATATTGACTATGATTGTCATTATAATATTAATTAGAACAGCGGAATTTTTCTATTATACATGGATGCACGTTCGATTATACGGAATTATGAAGAAAAGCATTGGGATATACATATATGTGTACATATATGTACGTATGCAAGTTCATAGAGTGTATATTGCATTAAAAGGGGGTCACGAGAAATATCCGATGAATTGATAACTCGATTAATAAGAGAGATGATAAATACATGCATACGCACATAAGAACATATGAGATGTATATAGTAGGTAGGTTAACAAATTGATTGATTATATTTTATATCACTGCTAGAACCGGTAGCAAAAATCGAAAGGTTTATTTAAAAACCAATGAGCGTCTTTCAAAAAATTTCTATGGAAAAATTATTTAAAATTCGTTGGTCGTAAAATTCTTTTATTACATTAATTAATTTATCATATGTTTAAATTCCCTTTTGTTGTGTATTTATTGGTTTTTCTCGGCGAGGGTGTCGAGAATGAAATATAGAAATGTCTTTGGCGTTCGATACATCACGCAATTGGTCGAGTCAGAATTCTTCGAAATTTGCTTCCGGCTGATCACACCATGTAACTGTCTATTATTGTTCCCATGGTATCTCATTCCTTCACATTTTTTCCTTTTTATACTTTTATTACAAGAGTCATTTACCACAACTCTCCTGTTCCTTGGACCCCGATAGAAAAAAAACCGGTAAATAAAAAGACAATTGATTTTAATTTCGGTATGAGTACGCGAGTGGCTCGTTGAATTCTATTCGAAATAATGAAAAAAAAAGAATAATTAAATAGTAGTCAAAACGGTCCACGAGTGAAGGTACATATGCAAGGGCAAAATGATGAATGAAAACAGAGGATTAAATTTAAAATAGAGGAAAACTAAAGAACGTAAATGAAAGAACGAAAAGATGAAAAGAAAAAAAACTATGAAAAATGGAAAAAAAAGTATACACAATGTGATATTGTTAATTGGATAACTACTTACCTATTATTACCCACTTATTGCAGTTTAAGAAAGGAAAAAAAAAAACAAAGGAGATATTTGATGAAAAAAAAAAAACGAATCGAATTGTTTTCAACTAATCACGATTGGTTTTAACGATAATTAATAATTATAACTATTGAGTAAAATAATACAATAACGAATGGTTAATAACAAAAATAATCATAATAATACCTACTTGTGATGATGTAATGCGATGACTTGCATTAAGTCCGGGTCACGCGAAATCTTTTGATGATGGAATTCAAATAAAAACAAATGTAATTCAAAACTATAACAACTGCATAGACTGTGTTTATTGCATTATATCACGTCAGTTTATTTTTATATTTTACAATTTATTTATTTTCTTTCTCTTCAACTATTCGAGTCGATTCAATTATTCTTTATTTTATCTTACGTTCATCATTCGTTAATCCAAAATGAATTACCAGTTTCGTTATTATTTCATTATTATTATTATTATTATTATTAATATTGTGATAATAATTGTATTGATAAATAGACGCGGTTTACGCTGGCACAACTCGTTACATTGATCCTTGTGGTTCGATGGGTATATTGACGTGTTCTTCATGGACGTAGACTGGTGGTCTCTGGCTCTCTCAATGCAAAAGTTGAAATATCGAATTCGCAATGTCAGGCTTTGAAATTCGTTAACGACGTGTCCCGGTAATGTTCGATCGAGCGTCCCCTCAACGTGTCTGTGAATTCGATTGGTTACATGCCAATCGGTGAATTTTGTATTGTCAGGGTATAAGACAAGCAACAGAGACACCACAACAACGTTCATGGTTAGAAAATTGTACATTGCGAGGATGAAAGATCTCTCCAATTGAATACGGGGACATTTTTCCCCCTCTCGTCATTCCTCTAATCATCCAGACAATCGAATACATCTTTCCTCGCCTTCATTATCACCTCGGCATCCCCATCGCTCCCCGTTCCACCTGACTACTGAGTAATTATCCTAATTGTTTTTTTTTTTCCCTCGTCGTGATATCCTTTACACGAGGAGATTATTCAATAATTGCCTGCTGCCTGTCTTTCTCAAATTATTTTTATATTCATTGAAAAATCATCGTTCAATCCAGATTTATTTTAATGTTGAATTTTCCGCTTTTGTCGTTTTTTTTTTATTCATCTGGATTGAATGATTTATCTACAGGAGTCGTTGAATTACGCAGATATGAATGAACTGTAGTGTAATGCAGAGTAGACTGATGTTATTAATTCTATTTTCACGCGTCATAATTGCTGCGCACGTTTTAGATGAACAAATCAGTCTATGATATTGAAATTTTTATGTCTTCATGTTCTTTCAGCCTAGTGTAATTTACGATTTAATTGATTGCCATTTAATATCGTCATGTACTGAGACGAATCAACTCATTTATTTATTATCACATGACAATTTCGATTTGGATATATTCGTAGCGCCGATTTACTATACATAATTCTTTTCTTTATTTCAATATGCCTTATTATTCAGAGAGGAGGTGAAGCGAATGGTTGTTTTTAATTTTTTTTTTTTACATTTTATTTTACTACATGTTTCATTTAATTGTATTTTTAGTTCTTCCAACTCTATTTTTCTAATTCAGTAATCCTCTAATGCATTAATTGTGGTATATTATTTATTTTACAGCTAGGAGGAGGGGCTTGTACGCAAAGCATGTGAATTAAACATTTTTTATATGTATAAAGTGTGTATTGATATATTTGTATGATGATTTTTAATTGAGCTCAATCAATTCGATGTTTCTACATAAATTCATTAAACCCATACAAATGTATTAATACGTATATGCCGCATTGATTCAGTGCGAATAAAATAATTGCGCCAGTAGAAAAACCAAAAGAAATTGCTAACGAAATAAATAACGATCGAAGTGCAATATTTTATTGACACTTGCATGCACCTCGATCGTCGCTCTCACACTAGTCTATCACACATTCAACTAAATGTAATATTACCTCTTTATTATTTATTTATTTACAAATATTTTCAGCATTACAATATCCATAGAACTATCGATTGCTGTGTTTCTTTCGATTTATTAACGTGTTGCCTAAACAATTTGGCTCAAAACTCACGAGTGATCCTCGTCAATCGATATCATCAGTACAATCAAATCAATTAAACCAATGAAATTCAAAATGGATGAATCGATTTTCGAAAAAGCTCGTTGCGCTCGCAGTTATCGTTGTCGTTGTTTGTTTGTGCGTAGCCTTCTCTTTATTTGGAATTAAAACCTCCAGTGTCATGAAAAAAAAAACAACAATAAAAAAAAATGGTGACAACTGAATAATAAATTGACACACTTCATGCATCACTCAAGTAAGATCAAAACATTTGACAATTCACAGCATGACACGCACTCATTACCAAACCAGAACACCAACCAACGGATATATCATGAGACTGAAACTATAACTAGAGTCCTCTCTCTAAATCCCTCTCATTCCCTCTATCATACAATGCACAACCGAGAGACGACTCGACCGGAGGATCGACCTAATACACTGTTAGGGATCATATATCGGAATAATACGTCATACACTCGGATCGCCACAAGCACGACTCGATGCCACGAGGCGTGCGTTATACATCGCATGTCGCATAATAAATGTACGCTACATCTCCTGTTCCCTCTGTATGCTAACGACGAATGCGGCACGCGCGTATACACACACATATTCCCACAGGTAGACTATATGGTTATTCGTAATCACTGGGGACAAGCGAAACGAGCCCTGAGATGGTAATACCATCCTGGGATCATGATCCGTCATCCAAAGTCGGGCTCGTGACAAATCCATACGATTTCGGGGGACGAAATAAAAATGTGTGATCATCGATGCATCTTACAAGATTCTTTTTTCCTGCTTCATTTGCACGCGTGCAATAAACTGTTATTATCTATTCACTCAACAAATCACTGTACATGTGTGTGCCTCTGTAAATAGGATAAATACACTTATCACCGATGTAGGATACGAGTGAGTGAAAAATCCTCGAAATCAGACATTTAGATTGTACTATTTAATCACACGACACAAACTCAACGTTGCTTATGTTCTCTCAACCCCCTAACAATGCATTGAACTATCAAATATTGTAATTAACTGTAGCAACCAATTAACACGATAACGTTGCGTAGAATATGATGATTCAGGCGCCCTAGGACCTAGCTAATGTAGTGGCTGATCGTAATAGAGCTGTTGTTGAAATTCCGTTAATTATCATGGGGCTAAAAAAGTAAAACACCATTGGCGATTGGATAATCACATTAATCATTCACCCCAATAGTCATTAAATTGAAAATCAATGGGTAAAATTTCAATAGAAAATTCCTCTTTATCTGTGAATTGAGAACAGACAAAGGAACCAACGACCAGGAATCAGGAAGTGAATTTTACTTCGTATCATCTATTGTAGAGTCGTAGTGATACGATCATCTGAGCGTGCTCAAGCCAAAGTCAAAAGATCAATCGCTACAACCCACCTCTCCACCTACCATGAAGCCTCAGCAACAAGAACCTTTCAAGTCTATCTCATGTTCTATTAATCTCATACTCTCACCCTCTGAGGATCCTCACTCCCTCCTAAATGCTCCATCCCTCCAGTGTACATCGCTCTGTAATATTGTTACAACACAATACAGCCGAAACAGTGTTCGCCTTCCCTGGCCCCTCTATAACCCCCTCTATAACCCCCTCTATAACCCCCCCCTCATCCACCTCTGACCCCCTCTCCTATTTCTACGTGCGCAAGTACAGTGGACCCATCCAGTGGTATATGAGCCTGGTTACTGCTGAAATGCTCGCCTATAGCGTACCCATCAAGTTTCCTAACTGTGGATATTGCTTGACTGTTCTGCTACTGAATCAATATCACTCATCCTGGATGCAGTGATATCTCCGCTGTGTGCATTATGTTTTTTGTTGGGAGGCCTCAATGCAATATCCAATTAGTCTCACTTTTTAAGCAATATGCACAGTTTTAACTCATCCACTCAGTGGAATAATTGTTTGACACCTGTTCCATTATCACAAAATCATGTTAAACATTAAGATTTACCCTTATTACTGAGTAAAACCACTTGATTACTGTAATTACTGTAACTGTAATATCCCTAGTTTTACAAAATTAGATGAGATTAATATTTTGACAACGTGGACAAATTGAATGCTGTCGATGATTCCATTAAACAGCCCTTGAAGCTCTTTGATGCTATCAAACAGAAATTTTCATTTATCCAGGTGTTGAGATTGATTTTACTCTCTGTAAAAATCACAGCTGTTCTTCCTCGACATCTTTTGACCCCTGCCCTACCCCCAGAGTGAAAAAAAAAAGAAATATATGCCCCCATAGATAGAGTGCTATGCCATGCGTGTTCGCTCTTGCTGTAGGTATGTCGCGAGTTTCAACGTGGGGCGTGCAAACGCGGTGAGACGGAGTGCCGGTTTGCGCACCCCCTCGAGACGGTGCAGGCGAACGAGGACGGTTCTGTGACGGTCTGCATGGACGCTGTCAAGGGCCGATGCAATCGGGACCCCTGCCGCTATTTCCACCCCCCTCTGCACCTACAAGCCCACATTAAGGCCGCACAATCTCGGGCTAGCATTGCGGTAATGCATTCTTTCTGTCTCTGTCTCTTTCTCTCTATCTCTATCTCTCTCTCTATCTATCTCTCGTCTTGTTTTTTTTTTTTTTTTCAAATCCACCATCCTCTCTGTATTTTTTCCTCATGAAAGAAGACCGTTGGGGGACAATATTGAATCAAGTAATTCACCTATTTTCTATTGCCAATATTGATTGATTGAACTAGATTTCTTCTCATTCTCGACATGTTCACCCACTATTTCGGCACTGGAGAAAGAGCGGAAAAAGTTTTTTGGGCTTGCAAACTTTGTAATCCCCTCAAGTTTCTCAGCGTCTTTCATTCCACCTGGTTAGCCTCGACTCTGCCAAAAATTCTGGGCGAACATGGCCCTCGTAATTCTTAGAGTATACTGTAGAAGGCCTCGACTTTGATTTCACATCTTTGGGAGAAATGGGGGACAAAAAAAAAAATTGTTACTGGCAAAAGCCTTGGACTGATGAAATTTCCTCATTTACCTGAAAATAGTCTGTTCAATTTATATTACGCGAAATTGCCTTCCAGGGAGGAAGAGAAGAGAGGAGGAATATCTGCAAGGCAAATTTGATCCTTAATATTTTTTTATCTCTACCATTTCAATATTTTCTTTCATCCTATCCCGTGGTCTTTCCATCTGTTTCTTAAAGTTTCATCGTACTCCTCGGTTTGTTGAGTTTCGTGTTGAAGCTTCGGTCGCTGCGTCGCCTGTCGTCAATCCACCAATCGATATCTGTCGTATTGTACAATTTCCCCTATCTCCATATCGATAATTGAACGTTGCAATGCAATGAGAGTTATTTATGATGAAAATATCTAGTGTGAATTGGCTAAAGCCTACGCAGCGGTCAGAAACTCCACTGGGACGTGAGGATTCCACTGATTAAAACCATCAATGAATATTCCTATCGATATCTCGACTCCTCACCTCTCAGTACCCTCAGTTTGTTGCTTTTGTGTTCGTCCATCTATCAACCCTGTTTGACGTAAGCCATGAAAGTAGTGTGTAGTCCTACGTAGCTGTTGAATTACCCATATTACTTTTTTTTTTAATCATCACAAGAACACCACTGTTTTCTATTTTCTCTCTTTCTAGCAGCCTATCGCAGCTATCGAGGTGCAAATAAACTAGTTGCAAATACACCAAATATTATAAATTAATATTTATCACCTTGAACAATTTGATTAGATGATAAATGATGCAGTTTTATTACCTTGCTGTAATCCAGTTGCGTCGTTATCACTCGATTCTAGTATAAATCCAGGTACAATGGCTTTACCCGTTATTCATTAATCAGTGGATTTTATTTTGGCGAATTGAGTGATACCGCGTCACAACGTAAACATGTAAATAAATAGTAGTTAAAGTACTCCTTATTCATGAATGATAAAAGTGAAAAACACAACCTTGCTGACAAGCTGTGCTGCACGATAATCCCCGGCTATCAACCCCGCTGCTGTTTGCTGCCCCCCAACACAAAATATATAAAAAAATAAAGCGCCTCTACACTCCTCACCAAATAGAATGCAGGATATATCACTCGAGCTAACGAGGCAAATTACATAAAATTATGGGAATGATTGAATACGAATGGATCGAGGAGAGATACGTTGGATCTCAGAAGAATAAAACGTCATATATCACTCGAAAATGAAGGATTCACTTCGATGTGCATTTCCAATCGATTGACCCCGATGAATTTTATATTTTGTTTCCTTTATCCTGCAATGGTCTCTCATTTTTTTTCCATTACTCGTCGTGGGAATTGTCACCAGGAATTAACTAGATCCTTCCACACGAGGGGAAACTATTCCAAATTCGTTATTCGGAATTGTTTCATTCTTTTCATCGAAAAAAAAAAATAATAGATCCCCGAATTCTTCTTTTATTTCCAAATAAAACTTGAAATTCAGTTTTCACTGAATATCTCTGAATCAACTGACATTTTTTTCCGAGATATTTTTTTTTAAGAACTTCCTTTCAAGTTTTAATTCTCCTTCTTTGTTTCTCTTGTTCCACAATTTCTGTGTATTTTCCTCTCGTTTTCTCACGACTCAACTTGAATTCAACGATCGGAGCTTGTTGGAGGAAAAGAAAATGAAAGAAAAAAAAAAGGGGGAAAGGAGAAATTTTCAGCAAACATCAGCACGGATGACCACGCCGCACCATCCGGACACGAAGAGTATCACGTCAATGGATACCGGCAGTACCAGCTTGTTGGCAGGGAAGTCTCATTCTCTACAATGGCCTTTAACATCAGGAGGGTGCATTTTTATTGAAAAATCCTCAATCAATTGAATATTAAAATTCATTAAACATTGGTAAAGTTCAATAATCATTTTAAATTTCACCACAATCTGATACAATGCACTCTTTGGTATTATCGCGCCATTTAATTGGATGTTTGTCAAGTGTAAAACACAGTAATTCCCCTGTACACATTTGTTACACTGTCTTATTTAATACCATGACACTTGCACGTACACATTATTCTCACGTGTGTTCATTCACCGGACGACGAAAATTGCACATTCTGCCCACGCCAAACACCTGCAACGACAGCGAACGAGGAGACGCGTTGAGACATTTTAAAAAATAACTATATCCAAATATATATCCATAAATAGACAGAAAATACGTGATTATTCGTCAATAAGGAATCGCGAGGTTAATGGATAAAATAATTCAAATTAATTTCAGATGCTTGTGGGAGAGCGGTAAACTCTAGGCTTGATGCGTAATCATTTTTTTCTCTCCCCTTTTTTTTTTATTGATTTTGTATTTTGGGCCTGATGCACATGAAAGCGGTACGAGAATGGCTACCCCAAGGGCCGTGATTAATCGCTAACGAGGAAGACTAGAACTCGACACACACCACTTGCTAAACATTAATTTATGCCAGAAATGCCAGAGTATAATTTGCAGGAGTTGCCAGTGCCAGAAATGCCAGCACCAGTAGACGAATGGGAGCCTCGTGTCTACTAGCAATACACTTCTTATCTATTCTCTGTGGAATATCTATGGTTTTTCTACAAGTGATTTCAATGATTTTTCTTTCCTCACTATCGATATTTCGTCGTGTGATAAATCTGTCAATTATTTGCAGAATTGCCCGGTTGACGATGACCTGGACATATCAAGATCATTCATTTATTTCCGATGATTATTAATTCCGTCGCAACACTTTACGTTATTATATCTATATTTAATCGATAATTTATGATCTCAAACTATTTCTGCCTAAGAGAAGCCTCAACTTATCTTTTTTTTTTCTTTTTTTGATTTTTATCTTGCCCTCTTGCTGACCGATGCTTCATGCTTGCTGAATACAAATCTTCGTGCCGCTTCGCTACCTACCAATTAACGCCTGCGAACAAATTTATATATAAAAAAAAAAACCAAAATAAATCTGCCGACGAACATAAAACTGTCCCGAACGCACGACTGACCAATCACCATCCGCCACAATAAACCGAATCTATCGAATAATCGACGGATTGAACGGTGAAAACAATCATAATGAACTTACTGTTAAACAATTCATACTGAATGGAATGTGGGAAAATGTCGGATGGGCAAAAAATAAGCAGACGGGATCTTTGTCTACGAGTGTGACGGGATTGGGCGCTATGGCTGGTGGAGTGTCAGGAGTGCCTACATCGGCTGTATCTAGAGGACTTCAGAATGCCAGTATGGCGAGCATCGAGCTCGGAAAGAAGCGGATGCGCGACACCAATGATGATCTGCTAATGGTACCACGGCTTTTGCATGGTGTACACCTTCCTTTCTGTAGCTGGATGAGAGCAATTATTTATTTACCAATGAAAAACAAAAAAAAAGATCAATCCAATCCCTTAACCCTGACAAAAAAATACCTGACAAATTTTGAAAAATCTTTGAGCCATTATTATTCCCATAAACTTTTTCAAAATAAATAATTGCTCACAGCCTAAAATAGTTTATACTTTTAAGTTTTACATTAATAGTTAATTACGATTGTAAATACACTGCCGAGCGCGCTTAGAGATCTAGCTCCTTTGATTGAATCGAAACAATTGTCCCATTGTCACCAATTTGTCCAACCTCGAGACATCCGTCGAAAAAGTAGTTCATCACCAGGAAACGCTCCACCATCCGTCGGGGGTTTCCTGCAGTGTGACAGATCAATTAATTTTATTGACTTATTATTACTCCCCGTGATGAGATCATTCTGAAAAGAACTTGCCACTGCCGATTATTCATTTCTCTTCTCTCTCTCGTTTATTAATTTATTCTTTTCCTGTTCCCGGAGCTTACGCCTCGTATTGTATTTATAGATCATCAACGATCGATATATTTTTTTCAAGTATCAAGACCCAAAAGTTTCCTCAATTTATTTTATTCATTTATTTTCTTAACTTGGGGGGAGGTGATATTTTGGGGAGTCCCTGGTAGAGTCTCAATTGACACGATATATTAAAATACGAATAGTTAAAGTGAAAAAATCGTAGAGCTTGTTGAAATTTTCCAATTCACTCAATGACAACGGAAGGAAATAAATTGAGTGAGCGAATTGTGTTTCGTTTGTAAATTTCAAGCTTGCGCCGATGATGCATGTTGTGCTTTTTGAGCCCTTCTCCCCGAGGTGATGGTGCAATGGACGTCATCCCCTCGACGATTACATGAATACAAAGTGCCTCGAGGTTCATTGTTCATTGAACAGTTTCCATTGAACCATATATTGATAAATATATGTGTACATGAACGGAGAGAAAAAAAATATTCCCACGTTAAAAATATGATTTTTAATTTGAGAACATTTTTATTCTCAGCGATCAATCCTCTGCTTATCACCTGTCAATCGTAATTCAATGTAGAGTCACGTCGAGTTTAACCGACGAGCACGATAGACTGCTTACTACACTTGCAATATAAATTATTCACTTGAGTACAAATATCTATATATATATATTTTTTTTTTGTCACCACACGAGCTTTCTCCGTCAAAATCACTCGAGTTTGGACGAATGAAAGTTGAGACAAGACAAGAGATGATCAATCACGTGGCAATCGGGCTTGAGCTTTCGCACTACGTCCGCAGCTTACGACTAAATTTTTCCTTCGAATAAATATATTATTTGGCTTCTGCAAACTTTTTTTTATTCATTTGTAATAAAACAAATCGTTCGCTGCTTCATTACAATCGTTTTATTTCCTTTAATTCATAACTTTTCTTCCGTTTTTGTTTTTTAAATGATAAAAAAAGGCATTCGCTTACTTTCTATTCTTCATTTTTATCGCGTTCGTGATTCACGAGTGTTATCGATACAAAGTTTGTTTTTTTTTTCTATTATTTATGTTGATTTATGTTAACTAACGTTCAATCACTTACTGAAAATGTTTAATTCGGCTTCCATTGGCACATATTATCGTCGTGATTAATTTGATTGAATAAGACTTGGTCGAATTACGCTGTTCATCTAGGGACCAACAATGAGACAAATATCGCGTGTTTTACCGGCATTATTCCACATCGACATATGGCTATTGGTGTTGACTGTGTAATCACCACGTGATAGAGTCAATTTTACAGTTTTTCAATCCAGCTATTGTAACTCTCGTCGATTGGGCAACATCGTCCTCAAGCTGCGTCATCGGCACAACTTGTAAATAACTAACATTTACCTTGTTCAAGCCATTATATACCCACCCCATGACCCCACCCCCCGGCTCTGAAGAATTACAAAAATCCAAGATAAAATAACACCAAAAAAGCTAAATGCCACACACCCTCGAAAATAGTTGAAACCTATCCTGTCTTTGTTGCAGATGGAATCAAAGTCATTCGGGTCTTTCTACTACGACAATTTTGTAAGTGTAGCACCAAAAAGAAAAAAAAATCACTAAACACCATTCCAACGAAACGCGCTACGAATTCTATCCAAATCAAAGTCATCATCTTTATTTTTCTTTTTTTTCCTAATTATTCAAAGCTAGAGAAAAAAGCAAAAGAGCTAAACGAACGAAAAAAAAAAGCGAGAGGCAGCAGTGATCCTGTCGGTGGAGCCATGCACTCGATGTCACGAGAGCAACCAATTAAAAAAAAAACTGATTATTATTTTGAAAGAATGAAATGAAAGAGTGGAAGTAATTGACGAATGTATTTTCCCGTGATTTCAGGCCTTTCCGGGTATGGTACCGTACAAACGTCCAGCTGGGGACAAATCTGGTATGCCAGTGTATCAGGCAACTGGTGCAACGACCTATCAGCAGTTAATGCAGCTGCCGCAGCCGTTCGTGCCTGTGTCATGTGAGTACGCTGGAACACCACCCCTTCCTCAAACCTCTAACCAGTCGATAGCAAGCGCCCAAAATTCAATCCAATCCCAGGCGTCATCTAGTCTGGCCCAGGTGTCTGAGTCAAATGGTGTCTTGGGGGTTAATAATCCACCACCACCACCATCAACAGCAAGTAGTGCTGGTATAGGAGTTGGTGGTGCTGTTGGAGTTAATCCCAATGATAATAAGCAAGTAGCGTCGAATCACGATGGTGAAAATACCCGTAACTCTCCCGAATTGAATCACTCGAGTTCACCCCAAGTTAATCAACTGACAGCACATTCAGCTGGTGTATCAATACCGACAATGAGCGCTATGACTACCTCAATGCCCAATATACCAAATTTCTCAATGTCCAATATTGTATCTCTGGCGAATGCGAGTTTGCATCAGGCTAATGTCAATTCAATGGCCAACTACACGATGGCTAACATGGCGCACTTTAACGTACTCAATACCCTGGGGATGGGTCACAATCTAGCGACAATGGATCCAGCAGCCCTAGCTAAGGAAGTCGCCCAGAAGAACTATGCAAAGGCTATTAAGATGCAGACAAGTCAGCAATACGGCATCAATCCACTGACAGCTTTGAACTACACTGGAGTTGCTCTCAACAAACAAGCACTCGCTATCAATCAAACACAGGCAGCAGCCGCTGCAGCAGCAACTGCTCAAACACGTCAGATGTTACCTCCTGGTCTAGCCGGTATCCCTGGTGGACCACTCAGTGGTCAACTACCAGCCAGTCTTCTCCATCATTACCAAAGACCACCAAGTGCAACTCCTATCAATCCTTACTCATTAATTCGTCAGCATCCTATGTTACATTCACCCTACGTTCAGGCATCTTTCCCTGGGGTACCGGCTGCTGCTCTGCAACAGGCCACCAATCCCTACGCCCAAAATCCCTACACAATGCTACCTGGCATGAGTGCTGTGGGAGTTGCTGGGGTGCCAGGTGTTGCCACTGCTGTACCCGGAATTCATCAGGTACCCACTGCCAATCCTGCAACGATAGCAGCACAACCTCAGGTTGCCATTCCCGTGAGCACCGGGGTCATAATGCAGCCCTACAAGAAAATGAAAACTACGTAAAGATCAGTGCCAGATATTATTGGTATTTTGAGAGTTAACGAGTATAGTTTCATTTTCTAGTCAGACATTGTCGATGAACAGTGCCTTAATGACTCGATTCCCATTAATATTCAATCACTTTAATATTCTCGAGTCGAGTGACGTGGATTATTTCTAATCTACTATTCATTTTAAACGATTAATATACGTTATATATATATTTTTTCACATACGTCGTGCTAAAGACTGTTTTAGTTTTTCTATTTTCTCCTTCTAAATATTTTTTATCATAGTCAATAATTATTGGTGATTGTTTTCTCTTTTTTCTTGTTGTAAACGTGGTTTTTTTTTTGTCGGGGAATTGTGCACGAAGTTTTTCTTTCGATAAAATTTAATGAATACTATTTGTTTTTATTTTTATTAGGACTTAAGAAATTGTTACGACGTAGTTAGTGAATATTCGTCACATTAATGTCAATTCTAATGAATTTTTAATGATATTTTAAACAAATGGCCGTGAGATTTGAACGCATAGTCATGTGTCCTAAGCGCACTCTTGCCGCAATTCGTTTTATTATTTGATAAAGCATGTTACTGTACCTATCATTTAAGTTTATTTGTTATTAATAGTATTTAGTTTTGATCGCGGATAAACGCTGATACTAATATTACTCAATTTGGGAGAGTTACATGTCACGTAAAAGTGTGACCGTACAAGCCTCGTGTTTCGACATTTTCCATCATAAAATAGACAAATATTAACCGCTGTTGGGGGAACGAGATGAATAATTTTCATCAGTGATAAATTCAGTGTTTAAAAAATAACACGAAAGCCATCACGATACACATTCACCAAATAATAACGCGGCCAATGCGTTTAATAAGCAGAGTAACTAATGTATTGTATTTTTATTAGTAAATATTAGTTAATAGGTCCTTGTCAGGATTATCTATGGTATAATCTAGACATAAGTGGGTGGAGTATGTGAGAAAGTGCATGAACGAATTGAGAAAGACACAGGGAAATGGAAATATACATTTAGAGGAAATTGAGAGTTTGGTGGTGGATGAAGGTACACTTGCCAGTGATTTGAAACAATTTTTGAATTGAATATGTCTTCAAGTACATTTATTATACAATTATTGCAAGTGATAGAGGTCTATATACTTGTATAAAGGATATCTCGTACCAAGTGGGAATAAAACATTTATATATTAATATATAATTGATAATGATGTACAATAGCCGGACATCTGCGTATTGGCATAAATTTTGTGTAGTGATTGTATCATTATGCTAGCCTAGGATGACGGTCACGATAAAAACGCAAAAGGCCAGGAAAATTATGATAAAGAAACATTAAACGAAGAGGTGGGAGGAGGTGAGAATTTGGGCGTGAGTCAACGAAGAAAAATAATCCTGATATACAGGGTGAAAGACCAGCTGAGTTCTTTGCTGGCGAAGAAAATAAAAAAATAGAGAGAAAAAGCGTCGCCTACGTTCTTGATCCTCCGAGCTCTTTGATCCTCTATGAGATTAAAAATGGCTCCTTCGGGCACAACGAAGCTCACGCATACTTGCAGAAGAGAATTGAATTAACGAAAAAAGATGAAACAAAATATTGAAAGAAAACGAAGAAGCCTTTATAGTTTGTTATCTACACGCTCCATGGAGGTAGAGCCCTTTGGGCATGCCGGAAGTCTTCCAATATGAAGCGGAAAATACTGAGCAGCTGTTTTTTTTTTTTCAGTCTGTGTAGAATTAATGTAAGAGATGAAAAAACATAACAAAGATTTATTGTAGCAAATACACAACACGGTGGGAGGAAAAAACAACCTGGAACCATTTTTCATCTTAGAAAGGAATTTTGTACGAGGGCCGTCCATTGTGATAGTATAGTATAAAATAGTGCCCTAATCACATAAACAGTCATCTCGAGTTTATGTTATATCACATGTCTACGTATATGTGGTTATGTACTAGTTTAAATAGTCATTTCAATAAAATCAGGCCTATTCCGTACCGAGGAATTAAATACAATGGCAATTGCGAATTGAAATTTATTTCTAGACTCAAGGAGAATAAGGAATTCATTGAATTACGCCTAGCTTGCTAAAACCGGTACTTTAGAGTTCTCTATTTCAATGTTAGTTTATAAAAAATAAAAAGATAAAAAAAAAAGAATAAACATCAAGAGAGAGGGTGGCTGGTTCTGGTTCTCAATCCAAGGCTTTCAGAAAATGAATTTAATTTTAATTTGTTGGGCTGTGGCGCCAAACGCCCGGGAATAGTCAATCTGCAATGTTGGTAAATTTTGATTAAAGAAGTGTTTATTTTAATTGTCTTGGGTAATAAATGTTATAGTTTTATTAGAATATTTGGTTTTCAAAATTGTGGTTTATGTGTGTTGTTACTAATTGAGAGTTTTAATAAGGTTGGGTGGGGGGTGGATAAGGGTAGGGTGGATTAAAAAAATGATGAAAAATAAGATTAATGTGTTTGGCCTTGTGTGTGAGAATCGTCGGAACACAGCGGAAGTGCCTTCCCTTGCACTAACACTCCACTGCACACGATACACGAACACCGAGTGAGAGTGGGAGAGAAAGAGTTTGAGGGATGATAAATTTGATGAATAGCACTACTTGATTGATATAAATATGCCTAATATATAATACTAGATTTATATATATTATACAAAATAATATATATATTGCGCAATAAAATTGTTGCATATTATTTGCGTGCAACGAAGATAAATAAACATACGTATATACACGTGCAAGAGATACAAATGAAAAAAATAAAAAAAAAAATGAAATGAAATTTAACATTCTAAGATATAACGATATATACATGCATACAGGTAGTATTTATTATTCTGTACTGTACCGTCTCTGAATTTTTCATGTACATTGTTGGATACACATACACAACATCCACTCGCCTATATATAATACTTGTATTATTGGAAAGAAGAAAACACAATTTACGTGTAACTCCGGGTATGCAAATGCCGAATTTCGTGCATTCGTTGATTCTCCAATAATAGGCAATACACAAGCGGATATTGCTCTCAATTAAAATACATGTAAATTACATGGGTTAAGTCTCTGATAATGCAAGTGACCTATTTTGGCAATCAATGTTATTAATCATTGATGAGGAATTATTGAGTAATAAAATGACATTTTGGTACTAGCCCTTCGGAATATTAATTATCGAATGCGCTTTAATTACAGGGCATATGCACGCCTGGGTGTTTTATGATTTGTTTTATTCGTCAGGAGTCAGCCAGTATTTGTAATAATAATGCTTGATAAATGCATGAGAATATTTGTTTTATTAATGCTTTTTCTTATTTCATTCTCTATTTCTATTCGACGATTATATATTATCCTGAGTCAGCTAAATATTCCTGTAATGTTTATTTTTATTATTATATTACTCGTACAATGAATATTGCGATCTCTGCTGAATAGCCTATCATTTAAAGCCTTATTCGCTTCCTGCTTCCCTAAATATGTTCCCTGTGAAATAAACAACTGATATTTAAGTGGATTATTACTGAATATTATTCGGACTTTGGTGCTTGTGCCATACACTGTTTCTACGTCACTCCTCATCCCCTCCCACCGACACATTATAATTATTTTCAACCATCTCACTGCAAAAGAAGTGTGTAAAATTATTAATTACCTCTTATGCATTAAATACAATAAAATGAAAAAAATGTTTCAATTTTTTTTTAATCAATCACAACGACATTGCCTAAAATAAATTCTCTCAATCACTCAACTTGACAAATAAAGTATTTAATGTTCTCTCTCTCTTTATCTCTATAGCTCTATCCCTGCATTTATTTGCTTTGAATATCAACACGTACCACGGACGATAAAGTCGAATATTGTACGCTCATCGGAAACCATCACGTCCGCTGGTTTAAACGTTGTCCTAAAATTTCCCGCACTCTATTCCACTATCCTATAAATGATCTCCATCAATGCTTTTCAGCGCTTTAGATACGATGATGGTGAGAGGTACAAGGTTTTATGGCACAGGTGGATTATTATTTAATTCCACCAAACAATCGCCACATCAGTGCAAACGTTTATTCATTGATTATTAATCAGCGACAATTGAGCGTTGGTGCATATTCATTGAGATTCACTAATGTTTTATCGTAATGATCTTCTACTTTCGGTGCTAGATTATGATAATCCCATTCCTGTACGACGTTGAAAAACAGCTTTAAGCAGTATCATATGCTGTAGAGAGTGCACGAAACACGCCACGTGCATCGTTATTTGTAAAAGTTATGTAACCGCTTTAGCCAGTCTCATATGGCGCATCGTTTATTCCCACTAGATCAATACGAATACAGAGTAGACAATACGCGAAGTAACAGTGTTTTTATGGAGAGAAATATGTGCCAATCGCTTTGTGTTTATTCACGTTTATTTCTACATTATTTATTTATTTATTTATCCATTTATCTAATTGGCTAGCTGGGACAGTGCACATTATTTCCTCTTTCTTAAACACATATCTCCGCCTAGCGAGTAAGTTGTTGCAGCTTTGCCGCATCCAGGCTTTTAAAGGGTACACGCAGGACGCTGACTGGACAAATGGAAGTTGTCATTCGTCTGGAATCGAGGGTAGAATCACACCTATGCTACTTTCAAAATATCCAAGTGAGCGAGGAACGAGTGCAGATTTTTTATGTATCACGCTGTCTATATGCTAATCCATTTTTACAATTATTTTGCCACTTATCAAAACTCCAGCATGCCCCTCACTTTACAAATCACTCATTAATGCTTCATTATTTATTTCACTTCTTTATAACTATTTCCAGTTTGATGACGATGTTCTCCCGTTTGGTTTATCTCGTGGATTTATCATTTCAACCATTCACTATTAATCGATGATTTTCTAATTATCGTTATTTTATAACTTATTTTTAGATTTAAAATGATGCATGATACGCTAATCCGTTCATGATCTCTTTTTACACTTTCTGTTTCATGCTTGCCTGGACTCGCCGCACGACTTTGAACTGAATGATTACACCCTTCCATCCTACAACCCCTTCACAACTCAATATAAATCACTGGAATGCTTCATCCTTATCCTCTCCGGAATCCTCTCCACCACGGAATTATGTTAAATGATAATACTCGTGCACCTGGCGGACGTCTTCGATATATCCAAAATTATCGGTAATCATTAAATTGTTTGTTTTTTTTTTGCTCAACTTGATGATGAAAAAATCATCATGTGGCGATTGTGGAGGCATCACCATCGGTAATATCAAATATGAAATTCGCAACACGCATCCATCAATTCCCTCACAATAATTCCTACCAAATTTTTTTTTTTGCCTCACTAATGAAATATATATTTACGAAACTTCTCTTGTTCGCTGTGTTAATGGATTATATGAAAACGATAAAAAAAAAAAAATTGGTGTTGGGCCTGGCATCTCTCACGACAACACGCTGGATTGCTCGACTGGTCGCCTTCACATGGTTTTAATCCCAAATTCAAACCAAATAAATAATTATATAATACTATGCACGAACCACCATTGCAAAAATGGATTTCTCTATTGGTGGACTTGTTAAACCCAAAATGGTACTGTCTCCTGTGGTGAATACGCGAACACTTTTCAACTACCTACACATCTCTTTTTTTACTCTCATTTTTGTTACTGAAAATTCAATTCGTCCAATAATTGTTCCTCTATTATTACGAAAAAAATCTTTTTTCACCACTTGTTGTCGTATCTGTATCCATATGAAAACCTAAAACATTACTGGTTGGATATTATTACGTAAATAATTTATATTTGGATATTTTGAAATGCTGGCTTGGTATGTGTGCACTGCGGCCGCATCATCGCCATGCCCGCTCATCACCCAATATTGGATTGAACTAAATAATCACCCCGGTACATGATTGGCAAAAAACCAAAAAAAAAAAAACAAAAACCAAAAAAAAAAACAATCAAAATCATCTCATCTCATTCGACCAATTGTTCCAATCACTTACTCATCAAATCATTCTCACGAAACCAAAAAAAAATCTATAAATCAATATGACCCCGAACGTTGAAATATTTCCACACGTCTGTTGTTAAATAATTTGGGACATGTACCTGGGTGCCCGGAGGGGATATTCAACGTGCCTCTCCCTTTGATTTGGTGCATTCTGCACTGAATTCGCTATTCGGATGGTAATGAAAATATATATATATCCACATATATATATTTATGATTGAAATACGATAAAAATTGTACGAACACTGCCTCGTTTGCTGCATGTGGATCGCCTTAGCAGCCTTAGCCACTGTCGGGGCCCCTGTGGTCCCTCAAAATGCTCACTGTGTCGTCTACACAGACAGCTGCGGACAGGTAGACTCATTATTGTAACCAGTTTTTACCCACCTCTCGGGTTTGCACTATACGT